CCAGTCTGCATGGGGGTTAAAAAGAAATATAGTAATTATTAGAATAGCTTCTATAAACATAGGTCTTAATATTCCACAACAATGATGGGCCTTAAAATGAGTATTTACAGAAAGAAAAATTAAGATTGCCTTCGTTCAGGAGACTCATTGGCGACAATTGGATGATAAAAGATAGTACAGAAGAGACTTCCCTGTAGTATTTAGTGCCTCTAGAAAAGAAATGCCGAATTTTTTTTTTCAAGGTCTCTACAAATTGAAATAAAACACCAAGATCTAGATGCCGAGGAAAGATTTTTAATATTAGTTTGCACTATCAACTAGGGATCGACCGATTATCGGTTTTACCGATATAATCGGCCGATATTCGGTATTCTCGGCAATATCGGTATCGGCCAATTCAGATACCGATATTGCCGATAATACCTCCTGGGACCGCCGGGCTCATTACAAGCCCGGCGGTCCTGGGGGGGCGGAGAGCAAGCGCTTACTCACCTCCCAGCAGCTCCTCCAGCTCCCCAGTGCAACTCTCGCGAGACCCGCGGCCGTCAGAGCGTTGCCATGGATCACCATGGCAACGCTCCGCGCGACACGCTGGCCGCGAGAGTTGCACTGGGGAGCTGGAGGAGCTGCTGGGAAGTGAGTAAGCACTTGCTCTCCGCCCCCCCCAGCTCAGCCAATGCCACTGGACCACCAGGAACTGTCATATCCCCCCTCCCTGGCCAGGTAACAAGCAGGGAGGGGGGACAACAAAAATAAATAATAAAGTAAATATAATTTTTTTTAAATAATTTAATAAAAAATGCCCCCTCACACACTGCATTATATACACATACACTACACAAACACACTGTGTATATAATGCAGTGTGTGTTTGTTCAGTGTGTGTATATAATGCAGTGTGTGTTTGTTCAGAGTGTGTATATAATGCAGTGTGTGTTTGTTCAGTGTGTGTATATAATGCAGTGTGTGTTTGTTCAGTGTGTGTATATAATGCAGTGTGTGTTTGTTCAGTGTGTGTATATAATGCAGTGTGTGTTTGTGTGTGTAGTGTGTGTTTGTTCAGTGTGTGTATATAATGCAGTGTGTGTTTGTTCAGTCAGTGTGTGTATATAATGCAGTGTGTGTTTGTGTAGTGTGGGTATATAATGCAGTGTGTGTTTGTGTAGTGTGGGTATATAATGCAGTGTGGTTGTGTAGTGTGTTTATATAATTCGGTGTGTGTTTATGTAGTGTGTTTGTGCAGTGTGTGTTTGTGAAGTGTGTATATAATGCAGTGTGTGTGTTTGTGTAGTGTGTTTATATAATGCAGTGTTTGTGTAGTGTGTGTATATAATGCTGTGTGTTTGTGTAGTGTGTTTATATAATGCACACTACACAAACACACTGCATTATATACATACACTATACAAACACACTCTGCATTATATAAACACACTACATTCACTATACACACACTACACAAATACACACACATTCTGCATTCATTATATACACACACACTTTGCATTTAGTATATACAGCATTCACTTTACGCACACTACCCACACACTACACTAATACACTCTGCTTTCATTATATACACACTAGACAAATACACACTGCATCCACTACACACACTAGACAAATACACACTGCATCCACTACACACACTAGACAAATACACACTGCATCCACTACACACACTAGACAAATACACACTGCATCCACTACACACACTAGACATACACACTGCATCCACTACACACACTAGACACATACACACTGCATCCACTACACACACTAGACACATACACACTGCATCCACTACACAAACACACATTGCATCCTCCACACACACTACACAAACACACACTGCATCCATAACACACACACTACACAAACACACACTGCATCCATAACACACACACTACACAAACTGCATCCACTACACACACACTACACAAACACACACTGCATCCACTACACACACACTACACAAACACACACAGCTCCCCTGTCACACTGCATCCACTACACGTGGCATGTCTATTTTGTGCATTTACCTTTAGAAATAGTTTTTATTTTCCAAAATGGTAAATGTACAGAATATCGGCAAATTATATCGGCTATCGGCCTGAAAGTTCACAGAATATCGGTATCGGTATCGGCTCTGAAAAATCAATATCGGTCGATCCCTACTATCAACGACAAGGTGTTCACCCTTATCAGCGTTTATTTACCTAACACAATTCTGTGAGTCTCTTGAATGTGATGTTGTTCGCCTCCGTTATTGCAGAGAGAATAAAAATGGTCTTATCAAATCTTATACACCCCAATCAGATTGTATTTGTACCAGAAAGAATGGCCAGTAATAATATTAGGAGGCTGATAGATACCATCGATCTTGCACACCAGAAAAAGAGGCGTCTGCTGGTTCTGTCTCTTGATGACGAAAAGGCTTTTGACAGGATCAGCTGGGGCTTCATGAAGAAAGTGCTTGGAGCCTTTGGCCTATCAGGAAGGTTACAAAAGGAGGCGATGTCATTACACTATGCTCCAGTGGCCAGGACCATTGGTCATAGTATATGTTATCCTTGGTTTGAGCTAAAAAACGGGACGAGACAGGGCTGTCCCCTATCCCCAATACTATATATTTTAACAATCGAAAAAGTGGCTGCCAAATCAAGGGGAAAAAAAACAGGTTGGTGGATATATGTTCCCCCGGGGCAATGTACAATTATCTTTATTAGCGGATGACACATTCTTGTACGTATCAGATCCTACTCTTTCTCTTCCACAAGTTATAAAAAAAAATCTAAGTATATAGTAAGATCTCTAATTACAAACTGAATAGGTCACAATCAACAACATATAAACAAATATGTCAACAACAGAAAAAAAACAGAATTCAACAAGAATACAATTTGTATCATCCTAAAGTCTTCACATACTCAGGGATTAAGATTTGTGGTGACCTTGACAGAATAATGGACAATAATATTTTACACCTTTTAAGAGATACAAATAAAGATCTCAATGATTGGAGTCGGGTAGAAGTCTCATGGTGGCGGAGAGTTAACATCTTAAAGTCCTTTGTACTCCCTGAATAGATTCTCTGTGTTAAGAATGCTACCACTAATTATCTCAACTCCATGGCTAGCTATGATCAAAAGCTCTAACTTTATGTGGAGGGGAAAAAAAAAAACAGGATTAAAAACTTGTTACTCTCCAATAATATCAGGAAGAGATTCCCAGATTCTGAGACCTATTATCAAGCAGGGATAGTCTTTTACACAGCTATACTACATAAGAACAAGTAAAATCAGAAACATAGCACAAACTAGAGTCAGAGATCAGCAACATTCAAAATCTCTTTTACTCAATTATTTTTCCTGTGGAACCCTTTGATATGGTGTATAAACATCGTGGACACACACTCAGATAAACATACATACTCAGATGCACACATCTTGACTCACAAATACACACACTGACATATACACACACACTTGCACCCACAGAGACACACACACTGATATATACTGGCACATACACACACACCCCAATACACACACACAAACCTTGACACACAGATACACACACTCTCACTGACAAACACACATACTACTTGACAGACATACATACAAGCACATATACACTCTCACGGACAAGCACACATATACTATTTGACAGACACACAAACACATACAATGTATTATTTAAAAAAAAAAATGTTACTCCACCCAGCCCCTACCTTTCGGAGTGCTGGCATGGAGTCTATGTCCCTGTGATCCAGTGGGGTTGATGGGTTGGACGTGCGGTCCCTGGGGTCCAGTGGGGCTGCTGAGCGGCTGGGCGTGCGGTCCCTGGGGTCCAGTGGGGCTGCTGAGCGTCTGGCGTGCGGGCGTACAGGGAGCAGTGATCTTCCTGCTCAGATCCCCCACGCACCTCTTAGTGATGCTGGAGCCAGAGTGATGTCATATTCGGGCTCCGGCATCACTGCTGTGCGAGAGGCCATTTTGTTTTCTGAAATTTTGTCAGAACCCTATTTGTGTTCTGCGGAACACCAATTGGGAAACGCTGCTCTAGACTAATCTGGTATGCCAAAGAAGGGAATTATTCTTAAAGGAACACTATAGGGTCAGGAACGCAAACATATATTCCTGACCCTATAGTGCAAAACCCACTATTTAGGAGGCTTGCCCCTACCCCTTAAAAGTTAATAAAAAAACTTATTTCCAGCACCGTGCGGGTCTGACGGCCCCACCCCCTTGGTGGAATAATCAGAATTGACGATTTTTAGCCAATCCAATGCTTTCCCATGGGGGGTGGTGGGGAGAGAGCACTAAAGGATGGGGAAAGCACCAAGGGACTGGAGATACGGAAGGAGAGAGCACTAGGAGACAGGAGGGGAGAGCACTATGGGAAAGGGGGTAGGGAGATCACTAAGGGTCAGGAGGGGTAAGCAGTAAGAGACAAGAGGGGAGAGCGGCTGAAGAAGGGGGGAAAGAGAAGCACAAAGGGGCTGGTAGGACTCAGTGCCTATCCTACCCCACAACTTCTCTCTTTCACACTACACACACACACACACACACAATGCTTTCCTATACATACACAGAAACACAGTGCATCTATTACAGAAACACACCTTGCATCCCTTACACATACAAACACAGACTCACACAATGCATCCCTTACACACAAACACACACTGCTTTCTATCCCTTACACAAAAACAGGCAGAGCCTGACCTAGCGCCGAGGGACATCGGCGCTGGATTCAGGTAAGTCACTTAAGAGGTTTTAACCCCTTCAGCAACATGGGAATGGGTGTGGGAGAGGGGCACTGCAGGATTCTGCAGTGCCAGGAAAACGGGTTTGTTTTCCTGGCACTGGAGAATCCCTTTAACACTATAGGTTCCGGAATACGTTTGTGTTCCTGACACTATAGTGCTCCTTTAACTACTGCTGACAATAAGGAGGTGCACATATGTCTTTTAAATGGCAACAGCAGCCTATTCCCAGTAAAATACTTACTACCAAATATTCGCGATGGTTTTTGTTAGCCAGCAGGTGGAGAACCTGTTATTTTCCCCAGCCACACATGGAAATGCAAATTCTGTGCTGTAGCTTTTACTAGCTGGAGGTCTACTGTCCTTTCTACTGATGGGAGTTTAGTGGGAAGAAACTGCAGACATACCCTAAGCTAGTGTCTATGCAATGCTCATTGCCAGGCATCCACAGGATAATGTGCGTCCACTGTTGCCATGCGCCGTAGGATGTCAGTGACGTTGCATTGTGCTTAAATTTTCAAGCATGCATAATCCAACTTTCCACGAATGGCAACTTCTTTAGACCTGTAACATCTCTAGAGAGATTTATCAGCAACAAGTGTGTTGATGACTAAGAGCAGGCTCATTTATATTACACCAAATTAAGCTCATAGAATTAACCAGAGTATTATGAAAAAAATACTTTAATTGAATCAAAAATTTAATTACAACAATCCTGAGTTCAGTCAGGTCATTCCAGGTTTAGTTTGCTCCTCTTCAATGATTTTGACTTCACTGTAGCTTTAAACTGTCTTGTGTGTGTTTTCTGGTGCAGGTCAAGTTTACTCTTCCGGGAAAATTGTTTTCCACATTCGTAGCATGTATACAAAGTCTCTCCTGAATGGGTTTTCTGGTGCTGTTCAAAATGTGAGCCATTAGAAAACCATTTCCCACAATCTGGGCATTTATACCGTTTATTTGCTTTGTGATACTTTGGGAATTTAGGAAAACCAATCTCAGCTTCCATACATGCAGGCCTCTGAGTGGTCGCTATTTTATTACAGTCTACCTTAGATGATTTTTTTTTAGTCATTTTACCATGATCACTGTGGGGTTTTTTTGCACTTTCGGTCTTTCCATTTTCAGCTGTTTTTGGGCTAGCCATATCACAGCAAAAGCTTTTAAATGTATTACGGGGTAAATATTACCTGTGAAAGAAAACAAACCTAATCAGCATCATTAATAAAATATTACAAAAAAATAAAAAACCTTAAAGTAAAGTATGTAAAAGAGTTAACTGTTACTCCAAACCTTTTTTACGATACCTTTATTTTATTTTAAAATGTAACTTGTATCTTTTTTGAAATAATAAAAGCCACGTTAAAAAAAAAGAAAAAAAGAGAGAGAGTGTGGCAGGTAAGGAGAGGAGATCTAGGCTTTCCCTTACAGGCATGCACACAGTGTCACGGCAAGGGTGGATAATTCATTGTTGCACTATGGAATATTTTGATTTATTGTAATTTGTGTAGTGCATAGATAAACTGACTGCTTGGTAGAGGTGATATTGTCGATTCCAAAAGGGGTTAATTTGATTGTATGGGAGGTGTGATGAAATGCATTTTGTCCCTGGATTGTTAGGTGACAAGCTGCCCTTTGCCCCCGGCTTTTGGAGGAGCCTGATTGCCAGCCTCCTTCCTCATGACTATGGCCCTGGGGTGTATTGCCATTTAAAAAGACTATTTGGGGCTTATTGGCTTCTAAAGACAGTTTCTTCCCATTTGAATCCATGGGAAGGTGTGTTTCTTCCCCTCCCCCGTTTCCTGTCTATTGTTCTCCAGCAGGGCGTTGTCCCAGGCACACTGCCAAACCAGTTGGAACTGACTGCTTTTGTCCCTCCTTGGTTTCTCAACAGCCCTTGCTATGCTTTACCCCGTGGAAAATCTACTCTGTTCATGGGATCTGAGCACTGTTCACCTAGATTGGGAGCTCGGATCTGAGCGCCCAATCTGGGGATAGGTTAAATGTGGGGGTTCTGTGTAATAAAATAAGAATTATGTATTTTTATGTACTTTTACGTATTTTGCTGTTAGTGTTAAATGTAGATATTTTCTGTACCTGGAGATAATTGAGTTTACTGCAGTGCCTTAAACCAATTATCTCCAGGATGGAGAGGAGGGATTTCATTGTGTATGTGAGAGTGTTATCATGTTAATTAGTGTTCCCATTGGTTTGTGTCCCTTTTGTCACAGTTTACCACCAGGTCCAAGGGGTGTGCCTCTGACCTGAAAACTTGTATATAAGGAGTAATAAACGCTCATTGGAGTCAGATCATCTTGTACCTTAATGAAGTTTCGGCTCATGTTTGGGGGATTGGAGAAATGACACTCTGGGGATTGCTATAATCACTATACTCCCCAGGGTATAATCACTAAGCTCTGCTAAGAGCTTGTTCCTGTTCCTGCTCTCTGGAATTCGGAGAGAGGCCGACCTGCTGGAAGCTGGACCCTGGTCCTGGGTCCAGAGTGGGTGGAGACGGCGAGACCCCAACCAAGCTGCGGCGGTTCGTGGGGTCTGCAGTGGTTATGGTGTCAGGCAGAGTGCTTGGAGTCCTCGGAAAGCACTAGGAGCATCCGTCAGCGGAAGGTACCCGGTCGGGGTGCCAGCGGTTCCGTTACAGGAGGGCAGAAGGTTTACAGCCTAAATTCCTCTTTGAGGCTGGGACCCCAACAGAGCTACTCTGTAAGGTGTGGGAAGTCACTCATAAGTGGCCTGGAAGTCTGGTTTAAAGGACCACTATAGTGCCAGGAAAACATACTAGTTTTCCTAGCACTATAGTGCCCTGAGGGTGCCCCCACCTTCAGGGTCCCCCTCCTGCCGGGCTGGATGGCGAGGAAGGGGTTCAACTTCTTTTTCCAGCACCGGGCGGGGAGCTCTCCTCCTCCTCTTCGGCTGAATGCGCATGCGCGGCAGGATTCGCGCACGCATTCAGCCAGTCCATAGGAAAGCATTCTCAATGCTTTCCTATGGACGCTGGCGTCTTCTCACTGTGATTTTCCCAGTGAGAAGCACGCAAGCGCCTCTAGCGGCTGTCAAGAGACAGCCACTGGAGGCTGGATTAACCCTAACATAAACATAGCAGTTTCTCTGAAACTGCTATGTTTATAAAAAAAAGGGGTTAACCCTAGCTGGACCTGGCACCCAGACCACTTCATTAAGCTGAAGTGGTCTGGGTGCATATAGTGGTCCTTTAATTATACACAAACTCTCTAATTTGCCATATGTCTAGATTCCCTCTTAGATTGGGGGTCCTTTGATATGTTAATGGCCAGTAGGCTTGTGTTCCAGTATCATATCCAAGAGAAACATTAATACTTACCCACAGATTAATAATTAAACTTTATTTTTATTTTATTTAGAATGGGACAAGCACAATCTTCTAATCAAGCCATGAGTTGCGTTAGTAACCCAATCATATGGGAAGGGATTGTGATGTCCGCTATATTGGGTCACAAGTAAGGAGGTCCCCATAGGTAAAGCATTAAATTGGCTAAAATCAGCCGGGGCAAAATGCCATTTTGGCCAATCAGCACCTCCTCATAGAGATGCACTGAATCAATACATCTCTATGAGGAAAATTCAGCGTCGCCATGCAGAGCGTGGAGACGCTGAACAGCAGAGCTGCCTACTGTGCAGAACTGAGCCAGGAAGCACCTCCGGTGGCAATCTGAGGACTGGCAACTTGGAGGTGCTCCTAGGCGCAATGTAAACACTGCCTTTTCTCTGAAAAGGCAGGGTTTTCATGAAAATGCCTGCATATAATTAATATACTTACCAAAACAACTACATTAAGCTGTAGTTGTTCTGGTGACTTTAGTGCCCCTTTAAGTTCTGCCTTTGTCTGGTAAAGAATCACATTACCTGAAGAGACTAATTAATGAGTGTTTTGCAATTGCATATGTATTGTGCAAAGTTGTATATGGTGGGTTTTATATTAAGTTACCTAGGGGACAAAGGCACCCCATTTATAAATTGTCTTGGTGGTGGCAACGTTAAAATAGTAATATTTATATTATTATGGTTAAGTGTGGGTGGTGCTAAGGGGAACTTTGTCATTATTTCTGGTCTAGTGCAGACAAATAGTGAACTTTAACCCTTTCATCACCAAAACTATGTCAAGCACACTCCTGAAGTAGGGTGCGTTCGTGACAAATTCAAGAGTGTTCGTGATGTAGTCGTGGTGGTGAAAGGGTTAAAGTGCACTATTTGTCTGCAGTAGACCGGAAATAATGACAAAAATTCCACTTAACACCACCCACACTTAACCATAATAATATAAACATTACTTTTTTAACACTGTCATCACCAAGACAATTTATAAATGGGGTGCCTTTGTCCCCCAGGTAAATCAATAATAAAAATCCACCAAATATTACTTGGCACAATATCTATGTAATTGCAAAACACTCAGTCTCTTCAGGTAATGTGATTCTTTACCAGACAAAGGCAGAACTTAATAAAGGAATATTTATTATGAGCAAAAAATAGTCACAGTACATACAAAAATATAGATGACAATCAATTTAGTTACACCAACAACAGATTTAAAAAAAAACAAAAACAAAAGGGATAAAATAACAGAAGTCCTAATCACTTACTCAGGTTTTCAAAGTAAAGCTTCTGCCCAGGTGGTCTCTGGCAAGGAAGATGGTGACTCACGCAAAATTAGATTTTGGACCCAAGCAAGTACAATAACACTTCAGTATCATTAGATATATACCCTGTGGATTACCAAGACTCGCCTAGAGGTGGAGATATGGTGTACTTATAGTAACTGTAAGTGACAACCCCCTGTATCTCCTCTTATGTACTTGCCACATGAATAATAATTGCATCTATGAATTTGTTACCATTTTTCCATTCCATATAGTTATGTCACACTCCTTACTTGTGAACCAATATAGCGGACATCACAATCCCTTCCCGTATGGTTAGGTTATGCAAATCATGTTTAGGCTTGATTAGAAGATTGTGCTTAAACCTTTCTAAATATAATAAAAATAAGGCTTTATTATTCTGTGGGAAAGTATTGATGTTTATTTTGGATATGATACTGAAACACAAGGCTACTGGCCATTAACATATGAAAGGGCCCCCTATATGAAGCTTGGTTGCTTCATCTAAGTGCTGCTTCTAAGTGTGTGATTGGAGATATTCTGGAGATAAACGGAGTTATTTAGGAGGACAAAAAAAATAAAGTTAAGATTTGTTTGATTTTAATTATTCACCTCATAAAAATGGCAGACTTAGTTCAGTGTAATAGTTGTTATGCATTTGTTTCACGTTTCACTTTTCTGAGATTTGGATGCTGTCTAATCGGTAGACAGTTCTCTATATTGTGACAGGAAATTGTATTTTTGAAGTCTGAGATTTGTAAATTATCTGGTAAACAAACTCAGGCTGGAACTGCTGCAAAGCCACTGCCGCAGAGACGTACCAGGAATGGCAAATGGATTACTGTAGGATCTCGTAGACAGAGTTGTGGATAAAAGGCATATTGCATGGTCTGTTGCTCTACACAATTCATTTTCTGCACTTTCAGAGTGTAATGGTGTTATGGAGACAGGCTCAGGTGTTATGGGCAAATGCAAATATTACAAGTTTTAGAATGAAATGTTGTATTTCTTAAACTGTGTACTTTGTCTTTAAGAGATATTGCAAACTGACAAGGTGTTAGAAATGGAACATATTGTTTTTCATAACGGTTTCTTTAAGCAATAACCTCAGTGCATAATATGTTTGCGCCATTTTGTCCCAGATGAATTACAATAACAATAATGCATAAACAAGCTTCAAGGCTATACTACGACTCTTGCAGTACACAATATACTGTGGTAACCCCAAGTTAATGGAACTTCCCCAAATCCGGGAATCTCCCACGACTGTACACTTACGACTTAGTATAAACAACAGATAACCTATTTAGACTTTAAGATGCCATCTTGAACTAAGTCGGAAAATTTCCATGACGTATGCACCCTTCTGTTATGGCCTTGTATGTTTGCCAAATTAAGGGAGGTCCTAAAATGAATAAAGTAAATGAACTACAGTAACTCTAAAATGGAGACACCTAAGGTATAAATAGGTGTACTTTTAAATGTTAAGACACAGAGGAGAGACTTGGAGACAGACGCTGCTCCATCTTAAAATGACAGAGAGGCTGACATGATGACATGTTCAGAAGGGTATGTTAACCTATTAATGATATTTGCAAGCATGTAATTTAATCTTATAAACTCTGCTATAATGGATTTTATATTTATATTTTTATATAATAAATATCCAAAAAGACAAAACTATTGCTTCCAAGACAATCTTTATTTTATATTGTATTCTCAATTATTTATATATGTTAAATAGAGGATCTCTTACTGACTATATAAAATTATGGCTAAGATATCTGTATGATTAGCCCTGCTAAGTTCTATGCTTTAAGACATTATAGTGGTAAATAAGGGAACCACCTGCGGTTACACAGGCACTGAGGGTAGTGGTGTTTTGGAGACAGGCTCAGGCACTGAGGGTAGTGGTGTTTTGGAGACAGGCTCATGGGGTAGTGGTGGTTTGAAGACAGGCTTGGAGACTATGGTGAGGCCTAATAGAAAGCAGTTGTTGTTGGGGGATTCTATCATAAGAGGTGTGGAGCTGGACAATGGTGGTCTTGTGAGATGTCTTCCCGGAGGTAATGCTCACAGAGACAGGAGACGTATTTGTAATATTGTTAAGCGAGCAAAGCAGGAAGGGGAATTGGATGTACTTGTCCATCTAGGGACAAATGACTTGGCTTGCAATGAGGTTTCAGAGATAGAGGAAGTTTTTAGTGTTTTTGCCAATGATATACGGCAGGTTGCTTCCACACGGTCATTCTCTGCAGTTCTGCCTGTGCATAACACTCAGAACGACAGGCGGATGCGTATTAGGGACTTTAATTTGTGGCTTGGTGAATGGTGTCGGGAGCAAGGATTTGGCTTCATTTCTCATGGTAGCTCTGTTTGGAATGGAAATAAACTGTACAAAAAAGATAGTTTGCATCTTTCTCAAAAGGGAACACATGTTCTCAGTGAGCAGTTAAGAGGTGTTGCTAGGATGTATTTAAACTAGGAGGCTCAGCAGGAACAGAGCCTTGTCTCGTTCTTGGGGGGATTTATTGTATGCGGTTCCAGTTCGACTGCTAGGAGTGTAAACCTATTGGTATGGTTTTTCCTATTCGGCTGTTTACGGCATTCATATGGTTTCCTGTTCGGCGGATTGGTGTCTTTGGTAGCTGCCTGTGTATCTCCAAGGGGAATATCTCCTAAACCCCTTTTATGCCTGGGGGTGCCGCTACAATTGGTGGCAAGCGGTGAGATGGCGTCCTGGCCGAGGTGAGGCAGCGAGTGGCCCAGTAAGGGGATGATGTAACCATGGAGATACGCCAAGCGATCTGGAACCAGGTCACGGCCGAGTGAAACACAAGGCTGGACCGAGAATTCCGGCTGGCGAAAGAGAGAGAGTATGCTCAGTGGAAGAAGTGTTACAGCAGCCGAGTAGAGGCTGCATCCGAGGAGGTTAGCCGTCTCCCCCTGAGGCGGCCGGAGAAACCCGAAGTAGGGGTCCTTATAGACTGGTCCTGTGAGGAGCCACAACAGGCAGGTGGAGATTGGACCGAGGTCTCTCCACCAGCCCACCGGGATGCTGGGCAGCCGGCCCAGATCCCCAACAGCAGCCGGAGTTGCCAGGTGCGGAAGCAGGTGGTCCTTACTCGCAAATGTTGAGGGACCTCACAGACTGGTCCTGGGAAGACCCACAGATGGCAGGTGGAGATGGGACGGCGGTCTCTCTACCGGCCCTACAGGGATGCTGGGTGGTCGGCCCAGATCCCCAGCGGCAGTATGTATCACAGGGAGCCAAAGGTGCTGTCCTTCCTCCCCAGCGGCAGTATGTATCACAGGGAGCCGAAGGTGCCGTCCTTCCTCCCAGCGGCAGTATGTATTACAGGGAGCCGAAGGTGCCGTCCTTCCTCCCAGCGACAGCTTATTCTCCCAGATGGGGCAGATGAGAGAGTCTGCCTTGCTTCCCAGCAGCAGGAATGTAGCGGAGCTGCAATATTAAATCTCGAGATCTCCGCTGGTATAGAAGGTAATCCAAAGTAAAGCGCTGGAAAAGAAGGCAATATCCTAAATCCCCCAGTAACCGGACAAAACACAGTTCAGGGAGTCAACTGACAATTTTATTCACGGCTCCAGGAGTCAACTGACAATTTTATTCACGGCTGTTAGCCTATGCATGCTCTCTATTCTAAAACACACAAATACATTTTTACACCAGGTTAACACAGCTATTTCAGACAACCTTTAAATGTTCTGCAATATGACCTAAAGTGGCTAGGTTTGCCACAATGCTCCCCCAGAACCAAGCCGGCATACACAGTCTGATCCCAACGGATCGGCTTGGGGATGTCCGGAGGAGTACTCACAGATCACTTCTCAAGGTCAGTCTGTCTAGATAACCCGTCGGCGTTACCGTTTTGCTTTCCTGGGCGGTAATGAATAGTGAAGTCAAAAGGCTGCAGCGCCAAACTCCAGCGCAGCAGCCTGGCATTGTCCCCCGCCACACGGTTAAGCCACATCAACGGGTTGTGATCTGTGAGTAAGGAAAAAGGTTGTCCATATAAATAAGGCTGCAACTTTTTGAGGGCCCACACCACGGCCAGGCATTCTTTCTCAATGGCGGCGTAGCTCACTTCACGGGGTAATAACTTTTGGCTTAAGTAAGCCACGAGATGTTCTCCGCCATCTGCTCCAACTTGGCTCAGCACTGCTCCCAATCCAAACATTGAAGCGTCTGTGTGGACAAGAAATCGTTTAGTTGGATCAGGAGCAGCAAGTACAGGTGCATTGGTTAAAGCAGTCTTGAGTTGTTGGAACGCCTGATCACACTCTGGGGCCCAGATGACCTGTCGAGGAAGGTTTTTGTGGGTCAAGTCAGTCAGATGTTTGGCCAGGGCACTATAATTGGGTACGAGTTTTCAGTAGTACCCTGCAGTACCCAGGAAGGCTAGCACTTGGGTTTTTGCCTGGGGGGTAGGCCACTTAGCTACTACTTCAATTTTTGCTGGTTCAGGCTTTTGCTGTCCACTCCCTACCCGGTGCCCCAGGTACTGTACCTCTGCCATCCCTATGTGACACTTGTTGGGCTTTAGCGTCAACCCTGCCTCTCCGATACGGTCAATGACTGCTCCAATATGTCGCAGGTGGTCTGACCAGGTCTGGCTATAGATGGCGATATCATCCAGGTATGCACATGCATACTCCTGAAACCCATCCAGTAGCCGATCCACCATCCGTTGAAAGGTAGCCGGAGAGTTTTTCATCCCGAATGGCATGACGCGAAATGGATACAAGCCAAACGGGGTGACAAACGCCGACTTGGGGATGGCATCCTCGGCTAGTGGAATCTGCCAGTACCCTTTGCATAAATCTATTGTAGTAAGGTACAGGCCTCGTGCCATTTTGTCTAGCAGCTCATCTATCCGGGACATCGGGTAGGCATCAGACACTGTTTTGTCATTTAGCCTCCGGTAGTCTACACAAAAGCGTGTTGTGCCGTCCTTCTTGGGTACCAGCACTACCGGCGATGCCCAGGGGCTATCGGAATGTTCAATAACCCCTAGCTGCAACATTTCCTCAATTTCCTTCCTCATATGTTCCCTGAATGCTTCCGGGATATGGTATGGGGTCTGCCACATAGGTAGCTGTCCGGGGGTCTCAACTCTGTGAGTAGCTAGCAGGATGTACCCTGGTAAATTGGAGAAAGTGGCTCCCTTAGCCGCGATTAACTCCTATACCTGGGCACGCTCCTGAGGACTTAGCCGCTCCCCCAGCTGAACACCTGTGGAGGACTCTGCCTGATCTTCCCGCTCTAATAAGTCAGGTAGCGGAAGATTCTCCTGATCCTCAGAGGCTGAAGCTCATACAGCCGCCACGTCCTCTATCCTCTGATGGTAGGGTTTGAGCATATTCACGTGGAGCATGCGTCTCTTCCCTGTCCCTGAGCAGGGGCCAATCACATAGGTGGTGTCACATCTCTGTTCCACCACCTGGTATGGGCCTTGCCAGATGGCCTGCAGCTTGTCATTGCGAACAGGTTTTAAAATCAAAACTTTCTGTCCCACGTGAAAGCTGCGGTCTCTGGCTCCCCTATCATACCAGCGGCGCTGGCGTTGTTGGGCCACCTGGAGGTTGGTCCGTACGGTCTGGGTTAGTGCCTCCAAGCGGTCCCTGAGCTCCAGCACATATGGTACAATGGGTGTCCCATCTGTACTACTTTTCCCCCTCCCAGTGCTCCCTAATTAAATCTAAAGGTCCTTGCTCCCTTCTCCCAAACAGTAGTTCAAAAGGAGAAAAGCCCATGGACTCTTGGGGTACCTTTCTGTAAGCGAATAGCAGATGGGGTAGGAATCGCTCCCAGTCCTTATAGGCCTCTCCAAAGGTACGGAGCATCTGCTTTAACGTCCCATTAAACCTTTCACATAACCCATTAGACTGCGGGTGGTATGCAGAGTACACGATAGGTTTAATGCCACATATTCTCCATAGTTGGTGGGTCACCTCGGCCGTGAACTGCATACCCCTATCCGATATGATCTCCTGGGGGAATCCCACTTGGGAGAATACTTTCATTAAGGCCTCGGCCACTGTCTCGGCGTGGATATTAGAGAGGTCTACTGCTTCGGGGTACCGGGTGGCGTAGTCTACTATGGTCAAGATATATCTCTCGCCGGAGGGACTGGGTTTTGGTAAGGGCCCTACTATATCTACGGCCACTCTACTAAATGGTTCATCTATGATGGGCAGTGGGCATAATTTGGCCTTGTGGCGGTCACCCCTCTTGCCTACTCGCTGACAGATGTCACATGCCTGGCAGTACTGCCGCACGTCCTTGGATATACTCGGCCAGAAAAAGGCGTGGGTCAAGCAGTATCGGGCGCGAGTCATCCACAGATGCCCAGACAAGGGAATGTCGTAAGCGATCCGAAGAAGTTCCTGTCTATATTTCTGGGGGACCACTAGCTGTCTAGTAGTCACATTCACAGATCCCCCCACTACCCTTTCAGAAATGCAATACAGTAACCCCTTTTCCCAGGTATACCGTTCTCCCTCTAATCCGGCCTGGTTGGAGATCACCCTATCCCTGAATACTTTTAACGTGGGGTCTATCTGAACCTCAGCCTCAAATGCAGTCGGGGTATCCCAGGTAAAACGGGTCGTAGGAGGGTCCCTGTCTTTTACCAGAGCCTCAGAGTGTGCGAGCCTGTTGTCTGGTGGTTACTGGGTGAGCCTCTTGGAGTGGAGCTTGAGTAATAAAGGCAGAAGTCATTCGACCCAGGTAGTTTCCCAATACGACATCCGCTGGCAGTTTCTGCATCAGGCCCACCTCTACCATGCCCTCCCCAACACCACAATTCAAATGTACTTTTACGGTGGGTAATCTGTATATCGATCCCCCTGCTACTCGCACTGCTACAGATCCGCCGGTGTGTGCGGAGCCTGGAACCAAATGAGGGACTACCAGAGTCAGAGTGGCTCCCGAATCTCGGAGCACTTGGACCTCTTTCCCTTCCAGGGTTACTAGCTGGCGATGGTGTTGCCTGTTGTCTGTGGCTTGTACCGACATCACATCATGTAGTATCCCCAGGGGCTCTTCGGTCTGATTAAAAAGTATCTCCTGGGTTGCTGGGTCCGCTTGGCAGTGGTGGGCGGCTGCTCTAGGTGCTGGATTCTGCTGTACCTGGCTCCATGCTTGGCGGCTCCGGTTCTAGGTACACTCTCTCGCCATGTGGCCCCATTGTTTGCACATTTGGCACTGTATATTCGCTCTGCCATTATACCTGGATGGTGGAGTGTGCCCCCCCAGGGTTGGCCAGAATGGGTTTGCTGTAGGTGCAGTAGGGGTAGCTGTAGGAGGTTGAGCGGTGGGTCGAGGATACCCTCGGTTGAGGTTACCGTGATGCCTCCTGGCGTCATAGTACTGGTCTGCTAGTCTTGCAGCTTCTGTTATGGTGAGGGGTTTTCTATCTCTCACCCATTCCTGTGCCTCTTGGGGACAGGCCATTGAAAAACTGTTCTAAGAGGAGCAATTGCCGTAACTCCTCCAAGGTGGTTGCTTGACTGGCTTGTATCCACCCCTGGGAGGCTTGGTCCAGTTTGTGGGCCCACTCTGCGGGAATCTTTCTCTGGTTTGCGCAACCCTCGAAACTTGCACCGGTATGCCTCTGGGGTAATGGCGTATCTTTCCAGTATAGCCTGTTTTACCCGGGCATAATCTTTACTGTCCTCCCTGGCTACAGCCAGATAGGCTTCGGCTGCCCGACCTGATAGTTTGCATGCCAGTAAAGGTACCCACACTGCCTGCTCCAAATCATGCAAGTCACATAGCCTCTCAAAGTCTTGTAGATACCTATCAATCTCATCTTTCTCTTCACAGAACATAAACGCATAGCATGGGATCTTAGGCTTTACCTGGCTGACGACTGAAGCAGCAATAGACTCTGCTCTGGGAGGAGCATCCTGCGGTCCGTGTGCCATCACATACTCCACATCCGCCATCAGTACTGTCAGTATTTCCAGGGATACTGGCTGGGGTAAAAATTCCATCCTGGTCCTCATTTCCTTTTAAAGGGGGTTTCTTCCATGGCTGCTGGGGTGTAATGCTGCGAGCTCTGTCTCCCTCCATCAATTCAGCAATCAGCACAGCTTTTGGCTTATTGCTGGCTATCTTACCCCTGGCTTCCAATAGTTCCTTTAACGTCTGCCGTTTCAATACAATGTTGTCTGTCTCCATTCACCTCTGTGTTTGGTTCTTTGTTGTATCCGAATTGTCATTCACTTTCCTGTTCGGTAGTTTCAATTACCCGAACACCGCTTTTCGGCTGTAAGGTTGGATCCCGTCACTTGCCACCAATTGTAGCGGAGCTGCAATATTAAATCCCAAGATCTCTGCTGGTATAGAAGGTAATCCAAAGTAAAGCGCTGGAAAAGAAGGCTCTCTATTCTAAAACACACAAATACATTTTTACAGCAGGTTAACACAGCTATTTCAGACAACCTTTAAATGTTCTGCAATATGACCTAAAGTGGCTAGGTTTGCCACAAGGACAATATATTGAAAGGGGAGACAGTCGGTCCCCCTCTCCACCAGCAGAGAGTGTGTCAGGGAGAGGAGCCTGTTACCCCCTCTCCCCAGCAGCTGAAAGTGTGTAAGGGAGAGGGAGCTTGTTACCCCCTATCCCCAGCGGCAGCGTAACCCACCAAGGGGAGACACTAAGCCCCCCACCAGCGCAGATGGGACCGTGGTCTCTGCGCCCAAGCTACAGGGAGTACTAACAGTCGGTCCTGCTCCCCAGCGGCAGAGAATTCTACCGGGAGGGGAGAGTCTCGTTCCCCCTCCCCAGCGGCAGCCTAGCCCACCAAAGGGAGATAAGCCCCACACCGTTGCAGATGGGACCGTGGTCTCTGTGCCCAAACCACAGGGGGTAGGGACGTTCGGTCCTGTCCCCCAGCAGCAGGGCTGTATATCCAAAGGGGAGACAGCCTATCTTCCCCTCCAGCAGCAACACCAGGTCCAGCGGGAGGAGCCTACTAACCCTTCTCATCAGCTGGGCTCCAACCAGGCTACTCCCGTGGTAGCGCTGGTACCAGGGCAGAGTACCGCTGGTCTCTGCCCACTCAGCAACCCACTGATCCGGAAGGCTAGTACCCCCCTGAGCCGTGGTGGAGCCCCTGGATATGGACAAGCTACCCACTACCCCAGGTGCAGTAACCAATTCTTTTGGGTGGGCCACTCTGTTGATTATGTTTTATGGGTGGGTTGCTGGACTAACCAAGGCACTGACCGACAGGAGGTCAGATACCCTGTTAGTCTTTTTGGGAAAGGGGAGAAATGTGGCGAAACCGACCTCGCCACTGGGCATTGGAGAAGACTGATTGCCAGCCTCCAGCCATGTGACTATGGCCCCTGGGATGTATTGCCCTTTAAAGACATGATTTGGGCATAATGGATGTGTTGTGCTGCTGCTGGCCCTTTAAGAACCATCTGGGGACATACTGTGGAGTCACTGGGTGGCCACCATTTCATGTATCAGAGGCACATGGTGAGAACAATGGATGGCGGCCATTTTAACTCACAGACACTGTTTGGACTTTTCTACACGGTGCCATCTCGCCTGTATTTGGTGCACAAAGACATTGTGCAGTAGTTTTAAACTATACAACAGGGGACACATTATACACCAATTATTTTTCATATAGCCTGTATATGTTCTGCGGAATCTGCATTAAACGGTATCTTCCAAACTACTGAACAGATCTGGGTGAATTTTGGATATGTCGTTCACCCAGATACTTTTATGGGGTTATTGCATGTTTTGGGGTCCCTGTGATATGTTTTATAATACGGTCTTTCTTTGCCTGTGATAATTATATTAACCATTGTGTTCAGTAATCATATCACAGGCAGAGGGGAGGATTTTGTGTGGGAGTGTCTGTGTGTATTGTACGGATTGATTGGTTGTATTTCAAAACCCTGTGGGCAGTAATACGTTTGTGGTTTGTGAATAAAAGAGGCTGTATGTGCCAGTACAGGCAGTTCTGCTTGACCTCAAAACGAAGTGTCGTCTCGTTATTGGGGGAATTGGATTGTATGCTGTTTGCCAGGAGTGTAAGCTGATTGTATGCTTTTCCTGTTCAGCTGCTTACAGCATTAATATGCTTGAGAGCATTCGTATGCTTCTCCGGCTCGGTGGTTGTGGTGTCTGCTGCAGTGCCTGGAGTCCTCAGGAAGTGCTAGGAGCATCCTTCAACGGAGGTACCCAGTCTGGGTGCCAGGTGATCCGTTACAAGGGGACAAAACATTTTTTAGATACATAAATGAGAAAAGGAAAGTAAAACAAGGATTAGTTAAATTAAAATCAAAAGAAGGAAGGTATTTAGAAGAGGATAAAGGTCTAGCTGACTGCCTCAATAAATATTTTTGTTCAGTATTTACAGATGAAAATGAAGGAAAGGGGCCTCAGTTAGGAAAAAGTACAAATGAGTCATTTGTTACATGTGAGTTTACAGAGGAAGAAGTTCTAGTTCAACTGTCCAAAGTAAAGACACATAAGTCAATGGGGCCTGATGGAATACACCCAAAGTTATTAAAAGAGTTTGTGGTGTACTAAAAAAAAAACATTAACAGATTAATTTAACCAATCAAGAAAGGTAGTAGGGAGGAGTCGTGCAACTATAGCCAAGTACGTCTTACTTCAGTAGTGGGGAAAGTAATGGAAAGCATGTTAAAGGATAGGATTGTTAGACATTTAAAAACACATGGATTTCAAGATCAGAGACAACATGGGTTTGCTTCAGGGAGATCATGCCAAACTAATCTTACTGATTTTTTTGATTGGGCAACTAAAATAATAGATCAGGGTGGTGCATTAGACATTGATTACCTAGATTTCAGTAGGGCTTTTGACACTGTTGCACATAGAAGGCTGATCAATAAACTGCAATCTTTAACCCCTTAAGGACATGTCATGATTCCCTTTTATTCTAGAAGTTTGGTCCTTAAGGGGTTAAAGGGACACTCCAGGCACCCAGACCACTTCTGCCCATTGGAGTGGTCTGGGTGCCAACTCCCACTACCCTTAACCCTGCAAGTATAATTATTGCAGTTTTCATAAACTGCAATATTTACCTTGCAGGGTTAACTCCTCCTCTACAGAAAAAAGAAAGGAAGGCAGCGCCACTATAAACCACATAAATTAAAAGAGCACAGAATAGGCAGACTAGAATACAATATATATGATAGATACTAAGCAAAATAGAAGTCCAGAATAAATAGTCTGACTGGTAGATGAATCAAACAACGAGGTATATCCTTGTAGAGGTGAATACAGTCTTTTGTAGTGGGGGATTCTTCAGAGTGGTGTAGATGCGTCTTTGTACATCATATGAAATGAGAAAATAACAACTGATGGTATAGTATGTCCCGAAAGGGGTAGAAGCAATAAAAGAGTATATGGTCCTACTCACGTTTTCAAGAGCTATGGACTTAGCTCTAGTGTTGATAACGTACAGTGGTATAATCCCCACTTATGGGATACGTGAGGTCTTAGTATTCTTTCTTGATTAGGGGACCATATGTGGAAATAAAAGCAGGAACAACAATGGTGCTCAAAGTATAAAATGCCAGAGGTGAGAAGATAAAAACCAAGTGGTTACTCACATTTAGTTGAACAGACTGACTGTTCAATGAATACAGCTTGAGTGGTATAATCCCCACCTAGGATTCTTGGGAGTAATATCCTCACTGGAAAGTAAAAACACTTCTGTGCCGGATAAAAGGATGGTAGTAATAAAAAAGTAAAATAATAATAGTAATAAAAAGTAAGATGGCTAACTCACAGTAAGAAAGTGGCCAAAATACCTTTATTTAAAACAATATAGTTTAAAAAACCACAACGCGTTTCGCCCTTAGGCTTTATCAAGTGGAGATCAGAAAGTACATCCTGTTACATACAGGTTTATATAGGCAGTGAACATATTAGAAAATGGCGCCAAAATGATGTCATAATTTTTTTTTTTTTTTTTTTCTCAAAAGTGCTAAATTTTATATGTGTAAGTGAGTACATACCTATATGTAAAACATGTGATAGTTTAAAATTAAAAACGAGGTTTTAAACTCACAATACCTTACATATTCTATTTAGATACAACAGTCACATGATCGGTGGCCATTTTTTTTTTTTTTTCAAAAGTGCTAAACTTTATATGTATCAGTGAATACAAACCTATATTGGAGACATGTGATAGTCTAAAATTTAAATTAAAAACAAGGTTTTATACTCACAATACCTTGCATATTATTTAAATAGAACAGTCACGTATATAAGTCACATTGTATAAATATGTACTTCATGCACAAAATAATTATAAAAGATAATAAAATATAAGAAATATATTATAAAAAATTAATTATAAAAATTATAAAAAATTATAAAAAATTAAACAGGTCGAACTCTACATTAAGACCTTCGGGGTAAGGGTTTTTAAAAGGAACACCCAGTGCATTTCTTTTTGTCCCAGTAATTTTTTGAGGTCACCTCCCCTCCAGGGTAATTTACATCTTTGGATCCCAGTACATTTTAAAAATTTAGGGTCTTTGTTGTGTTGGATAAAATGCTTTGAAACAGAGTGATTAGGGTAGCCTTTTTTTGATAATATTTCTACAATGTTCTGCTAACCTTATTTTTAAGCATCGTGTGGTCATACCCACATACTGGAGGCCACATGGGCACTCCAATAGGTATACAACATTCTTAGTAGTGCAACATATTAAGTCTTTAATAGGGTATGTAATACCGGTTTTGTTTGAGGTGAATTGTGTTGTCTTTGATGTGCTGTTTTGGTCAGTGGATCTGCAGACAATGCATCTGTTGCATTTGAAAAAACCTTTAGAATTTGATAAAAATGATGGATTGCTTGTATTGGCTTTTTTTGTATAATTTTTAGTAAGCATTGTCTTTAGGTTTGGGGCCCCTCTAAAAATGATATGGGGTTTATCTGGGATGAGTGTCTTTAAAATTTCATCTTGTTTTAGAATGTGCCAGTGTTTTTGAATAGTTTTTTTCACAATTTTATTCTTATTGTCAAAGTTAAAGATGATCGGTATGGATGGTGGGTCTTTATTTTTATTCGTATTATATTCTAAAAGCTTGAGTCTTTCTTTTTGTTTCACTGCTTTGAGGGATTTTTCTAGCTTTTAACCTTTCCCATAAAATTTTAACTACTACCCAAATATCGGTTTTAACTAAGGGCCTCAAATTTGCACCTACCAATCCCTATCAACCATTCCAAGCCTTTTTAGATTTAAATAAGTTTGTTAGGAAAGCTACACTAAAAAGATTTTTTAGCAGCAGAATTGAGAATCAATCTATTAACCAGGGACAGACCAACTATTCCCCCACACCTCCATGTATTAATGACGAGATACCAGTGAAAAACACCACCCTTAAGAATAACTCTAATTTTTACCCATCAAGTTTCAAATCTGGCCCGATAGAAGTTTTTGAGAATTTGGTAAAGCAAGACTTAGAAAAAATTAATACCTCCAAAAAAAACAACCACAAATATCATAAATATAACCAATATAACTTAACCTTTCAAGAAAGGAAAGCTCTCACAGATCTTAAAAAAGATGACACAATAGTCATCAAACCAGCCGATAAAGGGGGCGGCCTAGTTATACTCTCACAAGAAATGTACATCAAAGAAGCATTTAGACAGCTTAATGACCCCAAAGTATATGACAAGCTACTATCAGACCCAACCCATACCATCCAAAACTCCCTTATATCATTTTTAACCAAAGGCTTAAATTCCAATATCCTCAACAAAAAAGAATTTGCTTATTTAAATATACCTCATCCAAAAATTCCAGTCATATACTTTTTACCAAAGATACACAAGAATGAGACCAATCCACCAGGTAGACCTATTGTCTCCGGGATCAATTCTGTTTTATCAAACTTATCAGAGTATATTGACATTTTATTACAACCATCAGTCAGACTTATGAGGTCATACTTAAAAGATTCCATGTCTCTCTTACGTTTTTTAGAACATTTTACCTGGCATCCAGATTTTATTCTAGTCACTTGTGATGTCCAGTCTTTGTACACCATAATCCCCCACGAATTAGGGTGTGAAGCAGTTTTAAATAGATTAAAAACGGATAATAAAATTCCAGAAAAACAAATTAATTTTATCTTAGAAGGGATAAAAATGATTTTAACAAATAACTATTTTTGGTTTTTAGACACTTTTTACATTCAAAGACAAGGCACAGCTATGGGTACTAGGTTTGCACCAAGTTATGCCAATCTTTTTATGGACAATTGGGAGTCTAAAGCAATCTGGGGAGATCACCCCTGGAAAGCAAACCTAGTATCCTATTTTAGATACATAGACGATTTGTTTTTTATCTGGAAAGGTCCTGAAACCTCACTTAAACTTTTTTTAAATCATCTAAACAACAACAATAGTGGCATCATTTTAACATCAGAACACAGCAAAGATTTAATAAATTTTTTAGACATCCAAATTTTTATCCAGGATGGGAATATTAACACTAGAACTTTTTTTAAAAAAGTGTGCACCAACACAGTCATTGACAGATCAAGCTGCCACTACCAACCATGGTTAGATGGGGTCCCTAAAGGTCAGTTCCTACGTCTTCGCAGGAACTGTTCCCTTAATACAGATTTTGACGAACAAGCTAGAACACTAGAAGCTCAATTTATCAGCAAAAATTACCCCAAAGAAAAGCTAGAAGAATCCCTCAAAGCAGTGAAACAAAAAGAAAGACTCGAGCTTTTAGAATATAATACGAATAAAAATAAAGACCCACCATCCATACCGATCATCTTTAACTTTGACAATAAGAATAAAATTGTGAAAAAAACTATTCAAAAACACTGGCACATTCTAAAACAAGATGAAATTTTAAAGACACTCATCCCAGATAAACCCCATATCATTTTTAGAGGGGCCCCAAACCTAAAGACAATGCTTACTAAAAATTATACAAAAAAAGCCAATACAAGCAATCCATCATTTTTATCAAATTCTAAAGGTTTTTTCAAATGCAACAGATGCATTGTCTGCAGATCCACTGACCAAAACAGCACATCAAAGACAACACAATTCACCTCAAACAAAACCGGTATTACATACCCTATTAAAGACTTAATATGTTGCACTACTAAGAATGTTGTATACCTATTGGAGTGCCCATGTGGCCTCCAGTATGTGGGTATGACCACACGATGCTTAAAAATAAGGTTAGCAGAACATTGTAGAAATATTATCAAAGGCTACCCTAATCACTCTGTTTCAAAGCATTTTATCCAACACAACAAAGACCCTAAATTTTTAAAATGTACTGGGATCCAAAGATGTAAATTACCCTGGAGGGGAGGTGACCTCAAAAAATTACTGGGACAAAAAGAAATGCACTGGGTGTTCCTTTTAAAAACCCTTACCCCCGAAGGTCTTAATGTAGAGTTCGACCTGTTTAATTTTTTATAATTTTTATAATTAATATTTTATAATATATTTCTTATATTTTATTATCTTTTATAATTATTTTGTGCATGAAGTACATATTTATACAATGTGACTTATATACGTGACTGTTCTATTTAAATAATATGCAAGGTATTGTGAGTATAAAACCTTGTTTTTAATTTAAATTTTAGACTATCACATGTCTCCAATATAGGTTTGTATTCACTGATACATATAAAGTTTAGCACTTTAAAAAAAAAAAAAAATGGCCACCGATCATGTGACTGTTGTATCTAAATAGAATATGTAAGGTATTGTGAGTTTAAAACCTCGTTTTTAATTTTAAACTATCACATGTTTTACATATAGGTATGTACTCACTTACACATATAAAATGTAGCACTTTTGAGAAAAAAAAAAATTATGACATCATTTTGGCGCCATTTTCTAATATGTTCACTGCCTATATAAACCTGTATGTAACAGGATGTACTTTCTGATCTCCACTTGATAAAGCCTAAGGGCGAAACGCGTTGTGGTTTTTTAAACTATATTGTTTTAAATAAAGGTATTTTGGCCACTTTCTTACTGTGAGTTAGCCATCTTACTTTTTATTACTATTATTATTTTACTTTTTTATTACTACCATCCTTTTATCCGGCACAGAGTGTTTTTACTTTCCAGTGAGGATATTACTCCCAAGAATCCTAGGTGGGGATTATACCACTCAAGCTGTATTCATTGAACAGTCAGTCTGTTCAACTAAATGTGAGTAACCACTTGGTTTTTTATCTTCTCACCTCTGGCATTTTATACTTTGAGCACCATTGTTGTTCCTGCTTTTATTTCCACATATGGTCCCCTAATCAAGAAAGAATACTAAGACCTCACGTATCCCATAAGTGGGGATTATACCACTGTACGTTATCAACACTAGAGCTAAGTCCATAGCTCTTGAAAACGTGAGTAGGACCATATACTCTTTTATTGCTTCTACCCCCTTCGGGACATACTATACCATCAGTTGTTATTTTCTCATTTCATATGATGTACAAAGACGCATCTACACCACTCTGAAGAATCCCCCACTACAAAAGACTGTATTCACCTCTACAAGGATATACCTCGTTGTTTGATTCATCTACCAGTCAGACTATTTATTCTGGACTTCTATTTTGCTTAGTATCTATCATATATATTGTATTCTAGTCTGCCTATTCTGTGCTCTTTTAATTTATGTGGTTTATAGTGGCGCTGCCTTCCTTTCTTTTTTCTGTACCATTTCTGTTGTAAGGCCTGTGAGGGAGCCCTACTTTTTAGGTGTGCTGCCACTTTTTACTTATTTATTATTGTTTCTGTTGTATTTTGTATAGATAGAGAGCGCTGATCCCTTTCTTCTGTTCTTAACTCCTCCTCTAGTGGCTGTCTAGTAGACAGCCACTAAAGGGCACTTCCGTGTTTATAGCACATGAAAAGTGTGCTATAACGTCACTGGACGTCCTCACGCTATGTGAGGACCTCCAGTGTCACTGAAATCCCCATAGGAAAGCATTTTTCAATGCTTTCCTATGGGGAGGTCTAATGCGCGTGCGCGGCATTGCTGCGCATGCGTATTAGGTCTCCCCCGCCGCGGCCGCGCATGCTCAATAGATCTCCCCGCTGGGAGCGTGGGCAGACCGTGACCCAACACCGAGGGACATCGGCGCTGGATACAGGTAAGTCACTGAAGTGGTTTTAACCCATTCAGCAACATGGGATGGGGGGTAGGAGGGAGAGGGGACCTGCAGTACCAGGAAAACTGTTTGTTTTCCTGGCACTGAAGAGTCCCTTTAAGTTTGGATTCCAATATTGTTGAATGGTAGTGATGTCCCGAACTGTTTGCTGAACGGTTCGCCATGGACTCCAGTCAGCTGACACATTCCAGCCAATCAGCAGCAGATCCTCCCTCCCAGACCCTCCCACCTCCTGGACAGCATCCATTTTGAAGCTGCATTCTTAGTGAGCTGTCCAGGAGGTGGGAGGGTCTGGGAGGGAGGGTCTGCTGCTGATTGGCTGGAATGTGTCAGCTGACTGGAGTCCGCGCGAACCGTTCGCGGCGAACCATTCGGCGAACAGTTTGGGACATCACTATTGAATGGGTAAGGCAGTGACTGAGTGACAGGCAACAGATGGTTGTAGTCAATGGAGTATATTCGAAGCACTGACTTGTCACCAGTGGGGTACCTCAGGTATCTGTACTTGAACCCATTCTCTTTAATATTTTTATTAGTGATATTGAAGAAGGTCTTGATGGTAAGGTATGTCTTTTTGCTGATGATACTAAGATATGTAACAGGGTTGATGTTCCAGGAGGGATAAGCCAAATGGCAAATGATTTAGGTGAACTAGAAAAATGGTCAGAGTTGTGGCAACTGACATTTAATGTGGATAAGTGCAAGATAATGCATCTTGGACGTAAAAACCCAAAGGCAGAGTATAGAATATTTGACAGAGTCCTAACCTCAACATCTGAGGAAAGGGATTTAGGGGTGATTATTTCTGATGACTTAAAGGTAGGCAGACAATGTAATAGAGCAGCAGGAAATGCTAGCAGAATGCTTGGTTGTATAGGGAGAGGTATTAGCAGTAGAAAAAGGGAAGGGCTCATGCCATTGTACAGAACACTGGTGAGGCCTCACTTGGAGTATTGTACGCAGTACTGGAGACCGTATCTCCAGAAGGATATTGATACTTTAGAGAAAGTTCAGCGAAGGGCTACTAAACTGGTTCATGGATTGCAGGATAAAACATCCAAGGAAAGGTTAAAGGAACTTAAAATGTATAGCTTGGAGGAAAGACGAGACGGGGGGGATATGATAGAAACATTTAAATACATAAAGGGAATCAATGCAGTAACGGAGGAGACTATATTTAAAAGAAGAAAAACTACCACAACAAGAGGACAGTATCTTAAATTAGAGGGGCAAAGGTTTAAAAATAATATCAGGAAGTATTACTTTACTGAGAGGGTAGCTTCCAGCTGAAGTGGTAGAAGTTAACACAGTAAAGGAGTTTAAGCATGCGTGAGATAGGCATAAGGCTATCCTAACCATAAGATAAGGCCAGGGACTAATGAAAGTATTTTAAAAAATTGGGCAGACTAGATGCGCCGAATGGTTCTTATCTGCCGTCACATTCTATGTTTCTATATCTAAGAGGAAATTTAGAAACCTAGAATGTGACGGCACATAAGAACCATTCTAGTCTAGGGCCCATCTAGTCTGCCCATATAGCAAAATAGAGAGTTAGTTTTTTTTATTTAAACCAGACTTCCAGGTCACTTATGTGTGACTTCTCACACCTTACAAAGTAGCTCTGTTGGGGTCCCAGTTTCAAAGAGGAATTTAGGCTGTAACCCCTCTGCCCTACCATAAAATTTAAATTAACCCTTTTAGGAACTGACAATACCACCTCTACCAAGCACATAATTCATTTATGCTCTACACAAATTACAATATTCCATAGTGCAACAATGAATTATGCACCCTTGCTGTGACACACAGGGCTGCCTGTAAGGATAGAAGTTGATAACATAATTTTTGTACAGAATTTACATTAGGCAGCCCGGTGTTCCATCAAAATCCCCTACCCCGTGAAAATCCCCTAAGCTCGTCACTTCCGGTGAAAAAAGTCAGCTGGTTCCTGTGCTGCAAATGCGTGCTAGCACTCCTGCTACTCCTACTCAGCAAGGTCCTGGAAGGTAAGTAAAACTAGTTTTACACTTTCATTATAGTTAGTGCATTCACTAAGCTTAGGCACACAGGACATTTAGGGTTAAGTGAGAGTTCAAATTAGGGTTAGGCAAGTTATTTTAACCTCCCTCATATCTTATTCTAACCCTTACCCTTGGGGTAAGGTTTACAATAAAGTGTGAAAAATCACAATTTATAGATATTCCCCTGTGAAATATCACTAAATAAAAACAACTCCGTAAACCTAACCCTAATTTGAACCCCAACATTAACCCTAAATGTCCCATGTCCTAAGCTTAGTAAATGCACAAACTATAATGAAAGTGTAAAACTAGTTTTACTTATCTTCCAGGACCTTGCTGTGGAGGAGTAGCAGGAGTGCTAGCATGCATGTGCAGCACAGGATCCAGCTGATTCCCCTCACCCGAAGTGAGGAGGGTAGGGGATTTTCACAGATAGGGAAATTTTATCGCACTCTAAAATATGTAAAAGAGTAACAATAACACTGAGCTGTGCTTGATTAATGTACCCCTCTGAAAAAACAAACAAAATGTTGGTATGCGTAGCTCAATAAGCTTATGTTAAAAATTTACAGGTCAAAATATTACTTACTAGAGATCAGGTAATCACTAGGCCAGACATTATTTATTAGAATATGTGTACAGTTGTAGTGTAAATAATTCTCACCAGGTCTCTTATGTGTCCTTCTTGTCATTGGAATTTCCCTTTTTAACAATATTAGTCAAATATCAGCTCAGTTTAGAAGATCTGGTTAAGACTCAGTCACACGGTGAGCTGACCCAGGGCCCGGCTGTATGGGCAGGTGACATAGCCATGCAGCATAGCATGCCAGCAAAGAATTGAGGGCAGCTTGGCACTATACACATTGAGGATTCAAATCCCATGAACCTCATCCAGAAAACTGGCTCAGCAGACTATTATACTGATATTGTAATGGCTAGTTATGTTATTAAACCAGTTTAGCATAGCAAAAATAAATAAATGACAATAAAACAATCACATATACATTCACTAAACTTACACTGCACGTAGTGTCTGCAGCTCAACCAGACAGGAAGTGGATTGTGGTCTACGCAAGGGACCATGGTTGTTGAAGTTCTGTTTACCTCTAGCGCCGCTTTGGACAAATGGTTTCCATGCCGATCCGTGAACTACAGTGCCCGGTAGTCACGTGACACGCACTCTCCTCCGTCTGGTGTCTGACAATACTCTCCTTTTGTACCGCTGTCCCCGCGCAAGCATGAGGTTTGCAGCATTTTTTATAAAGAGAGGGTCATAGGGCAGTATTTTAGGAGGATATTAGAGGGACATCATGCTCAAAACGTAAAATGTATAATCAATGCAGTTTCAGTAATCTAAAAAAGAATACACACAGCTACCAAGCTACTTCTTAAGTGCAGACTACTCTTAAGGGAGATTATAGGGGAAAAAAGTAATTATAAAAATATTGGGAGAAGATACCAAGTAATGACATCAATCAATTTTGGTATCCATGGCTGGATTCAAGACCAGGAGCTTCAGGACAAGGGAAAAAAATGTGATACTTCTACTTTTTACCTTAACCCCTTCAGGACCGGACTGTTTTTGCGATGTTTGTGCGTTAAGGACCAGAGCTATTTGAACACTTTTGTGGTGTTTGTGTTTAGCTGTAATTTTCCGCTGTCTTATTTACTGTTCCGATACAAATTATATAATGTTTTTTTTTTTCAGGACAAAAGGGGCTTTCTTTACATACCATTATTTATATAATCTCTTGTATTTTAATTTAAAAAAATAATAATAAAATATGGTGAAAAATAAAAAAAAAACACTTTTTTTTAACTTTTATTCAAAAAATCTTTTGCTCATCTACAAAATCGAATGAAACAAACTGCTAAATAGATTCAAAATGGTGTCCTGAGTTTAACCCCTTAAGGACTGGACTGTTTTTGCGATGTTGTACATTTGCGACCAGGCATATTTTTACACTTTTGTGGTGTTTGTGTTTGGCTGGAATTTTCCGCTCTCTCATTTACTGTTCCCATACAAATTATATATTGTTTTTCAGGACAAAAGGGGCTTTCTTTACATACCATTATTTATATAATCTCATGTATTTTAATTTAAAAAAAATACAAAAATCTGATGAAAAATTGAAAAAAATACATGTTTTTTGACTTTTACTTGAAAAATCTTTTACTCATATACAAAAGCGAATGAAAAAAACTGCTAAATAGATTCAAAATTTTGTCCTGAGTTTAAAAATACCTAGTGTTTACGTGCTTTTTTGCTTTTTTTTGCATGTTATAGGGCTATAGGTACAAGTAGGATATTGCGGTTTCAAAACATACATTTTAAAATTTATCAATAGTGACATTGTAACACTATTATCTGTCATAAATCTCTGAATAACACCCACATGTACATATTTTTTTTAAAGTAGACAACCCAGGGTATTCAATATGGGGTATGTCCAGTCTTTTTTAGTAGCCACTTAGTCGAAAACACTGGCCAAAGTAAGCATTCATATTTGTTTGTGTGTGAAAAAAGTAAAAAAACTAAATTGAGCGCTAATTTTGGCCAGTGTTTGTGACCAAGTGGTTACTAAAAAAGACTGGACATACCCCATTTGCAATACCTTGGGTTGTCTTCTTTTGCAAATGGTATGCCATCATGGGGGTAATTCTCATTCCTGGGCTACCATAAGCTCTCAAAGGCAACGTAACCAACCTGGCCATTTTCAATGTAAAAATATTTGACCCATATATTTGACCTTGTAACTTTCAAAAATGCTATAAAACCTGTACATGGGGGGTACTGTTTTACTCGGGAGACATCGCTGAACACAAATATTAGTGTTTAAAAACTGGAAAACTTATCACAACAATTATATCATCAGTAAAAGTGCTGTTTGTGTGTGAAAAATGCAAAAAAAGTAACTTTCACTGACAATATCATCACTGTGATATGTTTTACTGTTTTGAATCACTAATATTTGTGTTCAGCGAAGTCTCCTGAGTAAAACAGTACCCCCCATGTACAGGTTTTAGGGTGTCCTAGAACGTTACAGGGTAAAATACAGTGCTAACAAATTAAATTCTCTGGACTTTCGGCCTGGGTTGGCAGGCAGGTCCCTCAAATTGCAATCAATAAAATTACTTAATTATGTAAAATATTACATAAATACGCACGTAGAATTTAAATATATATGCATATTTATATATTTGAAGTCTACGTGTATATTTATATAATTATTTATGTAATTTTGTATATGGACGTATGTATATTTCTTATTATTTTTATTTATTTTTATACATAGATATATATAAAAATTAATTCTAAGTGTATTTTGATATAAATATATATATATTAATTTTAAAATACAGTTAGAATAAAATTTCATATAGCTATATAATTTTTTTTAAATTTTTTATTATTATTTTAAAAAATTTTTATTTAATTTAAATTACTTATTATTTATATTTTATAATAATATATATATACAATATATATAGTTATTATATATATTATATATATACGTGTGTAATTTAATTATAAGTGTAATTTTATATTAATATAAGTACATATTAATATAAAAATACACTTAGTATGGCATTATATATATGATATATAGACATATATTATATAGATATAATATATGTCTATATATCATATATACACATATATAATTATTTTTTTATTTTTAATTACTATTAACTTTATTTTTTTAATTGATTTTACACTAGCAGGGAGACTGCCTGTCAGCACAGGCAGTCCCCCTGCAGGCAGACACATGGACACCTATTGTGACCATGTGATCGCTGTGTTAAGCGATCACATGGCCACAGGGGTCCTAATCTGCCGTGGGGAGACTGTCTGGGCTGCAGGTAGTCTCCCCACAACCGGAGGAACACTGATCGCCGCCGGGGGAACGACGGCGATCAGGTAAGTACCCCCAGACCGTTAGGACGGTTCAGGACCGTCATCGGTCCTCAAGGCAAAAATGCCGATGACGGTCCTGAACCGTCCTCGGTCGCTAAGGGGTTAAAAACACCCAATGTTACATATTGTTTTCTTTTATTTGCAAGTTATAGGGCTATAAGTACAAGTAGGAAATTGCTGTTTCAAAATGTACATTTTTCAAATGTATCAATAGTGACATTGTAACACTGTTATGTCATAAATCTCCAAAAAACACCCCACATGTAAATATTTTTCTTAAACTAGATAACCCAGGGTATTCATCTAAGAATATTTTGATACTTTCTATGCAGCCATTTTACCACAAACCTTTGCCAAACTTTGCATAGGTAGTTTATTTTTTTCACATACATTGCAATTCAGGTATAAATTCACAGATTCTGTTAGGTGTCACTACCAAACAACACCCCAATATGTGTTCAGCAACATCTCCCGAGTACAGGGATACCCCCCGTGTATAGGTGTGTCGGGTTGTTTGGGGGCTAAAAGGCCACATTTGGCAGGTGCGCATATCAGTTTCCCAGCTTGGAATTTTGACATGTAGTCAACCTGCATGCATGTCCTATTTGGGACATTTTTGAAGCCGGCCAATGTATTTTACCCCCATCAAACCATATATTTTTGAAAAGTAGACATCCTAGGGTATTTCACATGGTGGTATTTTAACACTTTCCATGCACTAATTCTACCATCAGGCTTTGTCAAACATTGAGTTAGTACATTTGTTTCTGTTTTTTTTCACACACATTGTACTTTAGGCATGAATTAACAGATCCTGTTTTGTGTCACTGCCAAACAACACCCCAATATGTGTTCAGCAACATCTCCCGAGTACAGGGATACCCCCCATGTATAGATGTGTTGGGCTGTTTGGGGGCTAAAAGGCCACAGTTTCCCAGCTTGGAATTTTGACATGTA